AGGGGAGTGGTTAATCTTACAGTCCTGAAACAGAGGACCCTAGGACCATCAAGAGAGAAACGCACAAGCAGAATGTGGGACCTTATCCAGAGAAGCAGCAGCGCCAGAGATGGAGGCAGAGATGGGGGCATAGAGAGCGGGAGTGACTGAGGACTCTAGATCCATGGACCAAGAAGAGAAGGACTAAGAGCTGGTAGCCAGGAGCAGACTTCCAGAATGTGCCCTTTGGAGATGTAAATTATTATATATGCCTGAGTGGTTAAATAAATAAATAAATAAAATAAAACCTAAAAAAAAATAGAAAAAAGGGATACTTTCTTGTGCTATGATAAAAATTGATTTTGAGATCAGATCTAATATCAAAATTTTGATAAAACATAAATGAATATCTTTACAAATCATTGAAGCTTTGCAAGAAGTTTACAGGAATGCTGCCCCTGTAAAACAACAGTTTTTAGATAAATCAAGTGTTTTAAATAAGGTTGGGAAGACCTCAAAGATGAGTCAAGAAAAGGGAGACCATCAATCTTGATCGATGAAGAAACTGTGGCTGAAGTACAGAAACTGGTAGAAGAAGACCACAGAATTACCACTGATGCCATAGCTACATGGTTCAGCATTTTCAGTTTTCTGTCAACATCTTGGCCTCCACAAGCTTTCAGTTGCAGAGGACTCAAAAGTGTTGCACAGCTAGCTCACAGTGCTGATCTTTTCATCATAGTGCTGATCTTTTCATCAGGAAAAAGTAGTAAATAAATTAAAATGAAGCTTTATGCACAAGCAAGCTAAAGTATTTCTATGCCTTTCTTCTCTATTACTATATTGTCAAAATCCGTAACTTTATAAACACTGAGTTTGGCATTCCTCCCAGCCATCTCTCTCCAGGAATGCTGCTGTTCCAAACTAGCCGGTAATGACCTGGAAATCCGGTTCCATTTCTTTGGAAAGTTAATGAAATGTTCATCACAACTCCATTCTGTGTGTCTTCAGACCTTGGAGTGACCTTGGGCTTGTTCCACTAAAGATCTAGGTCAGACTGAATAGATCTTGCGTTCTTGTGCCCTTACCATAGTCACAAATTAAGATGGTTGCAGAACGTGTTCAGAATTTAAGCTTTGCTTTATAAAGAGAAGAAAAGACCCTAACCACAGCCTTTTTCATTCATCATGAGTAGTACCTTCAGTCAAGGGTAGAGAGACTCAAGAGGTCTGAATGAAGACTGTCTACCATCCAGGTTTCGAGGAATTATGGAGAGAAGAGAGGTATATAAAAAAGAAATCCCAAGTGGCATCGGTGCCCTGGTGAGACCTCTCTGGTTTTCCTGAAAACAACCTCTTGAGAAAGAAAAGAGGAATGAGCCAAGAGCTGGGAGGAACTCATTTAAATTCCCTCTCTGCGCCTTACCTTTAGCTAGCAGCAGAAGAGCTCTCCCGCGCGGCTTTGGGGACCAGAGCTTGCGTTCCCTGCCAGACAGCTACCCCGCCCCGCCCCGCCCTCCCGCTCCTACGGCCAATGAAACCCAGCGGGCCGCGGAGCGCGGCCAATGGGAACCGTCGGCTGCGGACAGCCGCTTTTAAGAAACAGAGGAGGGGCGCGCGAGGATGCAAGCGTAGAGCGAAGAGTTCAGCTGCAGCGTGCGGTCGCCACCATGTCCCTGCAGGTAACCTAGAGGTGGGAGTCCGCGCGGGAGGCAGGAAGTCAGAGGTGATGGTACCAACAGGGAAGGGCTCAGGTGGGGCTAGGAAAGGTGGTGCCGGGGGCCCATGTGACGCCCCAGGGGAACACGGCGCAGACAGAAGAAACCCGCGAGCAGCGGCGCATCTGATCCAGCGCTGCCGGCAGCTCCTGCTGGTCTTCTGTGTCTCCTCTGAGCGGCTGCGTCTCCCTCCTGAGCCGAGTCGCTGGTGATCCAGAGGACACGCCTACCGCTTTCCAAGAGCCCCCTTTCTGCAAGTATAGAGCGCACTGGTTCCTTCTGTTGACTACGTGCCGGGGCTCGCTATGGCAACCCTTCTGAACCCCAGGGATTTGCAAAACTACTGCGAGAGGAAAAGTAGCCACTGTATAGGACAGGGTAGAATAAACCCATACACAGGGCAGCCTTAGAAATCCGATACAGGGTCAAAGAGTAAGAACGTATGCTCTATTAAAACAAAAGTAAAGTAATTTATTGAAGGCGTATTGCAACTACAGTTGTACAGCACTTTGCAAAATTACGAATTGCTCTCAGGTACAGAAAATGGTGGTTGTTGTTGTCAGGTGCCATCGAGTCGGAACCGACTCATAGCGACCCCATGCATAGCAGAACGAAACAATGTCCGATCCTGGGCCAACCTCACTACCGCTGCCACACATGGTGGTGGTTGGTGGTTATGTGCGGTGGAGTCGGTTCCGACTCACAGCGACCCTGTATAGGGTTTCCTAGGCTCCTCTTTCTTCCGCGGAACGACTGGTAGACTCGAACTTCTGGTTATCAGCTCAGCTAGAACGTAGTCCCTACACTACAGAAAGTTATTGCTGTTAAGTGCCATTGAGTCGGTTCCGACCCATAGCAACCCTGCCTAGGCTTGCCGAGGAGCAGCTGGTGAACTTGAACAGCCGACCTTGCAGTTCAAATGGCTTTGCAGTCTGGCGCATTAACCCACAGCGCCACACCAGGACTGCAACAATACCCATACAGGATTTTAAATCGGAAACTTAGAAGGGCTTTTATACAGGAGAAGGTAACCATTAAAATAGTAACCATTAGTCATATATTAGGAACTATAACTCATGCATTCGTTAATTTATTGATGCCCTGCCCTGGAGCTAGCCTACACAAATATTTTTGCAAAAATGGTTTTACTGATCTATCAAGGATAGGAGAAGCTTGTACAAAAACAAAAAAAAAAATTCTGAGAGTAGCTGCAGTTGGTTGCCTCCGCTCTTGTTCTTGCCGTGCCTGAGCCAGTGCAATATTCACTCATTACTGGAAGCTCAGCTTGAATGCTTCTTGTTGTTGTTGATGTTGTAAACAAAATGGAATTCATATTGCACCTGGGCAGAAGTTTCTCCTCTGCAGACCACCAAGGTCTGGGGGCTTTTTCACAATCTCAAGCAGCACCTCCTCAGATAAAACAGCATAGATGAAGGTAAGGCAGCATAGCTCCAGAGTCTGTCAATCCGTGCAGCCATACTCTTAGACCCCTGTAGGGAAGGCTTCTTCCACACATATCCCCTCTCCCCCACATCCCATGATCCCACCTTCTCCTCTGGTTCCCAGAGCACCTGGCCATTCCTCCTTTAAAGCAAGTCCCAGTCACCTTTTGTGGGCCTACTCACCATCCACTAGACTCTGAGCTCTTTTAAAGCAAATTCCCTTTTCATCCCTGTTTGCCTAGCAAAGGTCTGGCACCTCAAAGTGGGTGAGTACATTAATTAGATAATGTGATGAGCTCTGGGAGGACAGAGAACAGAATCAAGCCTATTTGTAGTCTTAATCATATTTAACCCTAACACCATCCCTCTAAGGCAGGTACTTTCTCCTTTGGGCTGTAGCTGAACCTCAGCGGAGCTTTGTTACTTGCACCAACTTTCACAGCAGTGTGTCTTAAAGCTAGAATTCAGGTCCTAGCATCCTGGCACAAGGCAAAATGCTTTTTGTTACAGTGCATCATGGTCAGGATGGGAAAGGCCTCAGAGAGGAGGGAACATCTGAACAACCCCTTAAAGCTGGGATAGGAAGGTAGAGCAGTATTAGGTACCAAGGAAGGGCATGCCTGGGCTCCGCTCTAGAACACCATTTTCTACTTGGCTTGATGTCGGGGACTGGCCTCCACAGGGAAGTTTGGTTCACGAAGTAGGGAGATCTGGCGGCAAAAGAGATAGAGAAAGTATATACACAAAGACGCAACGAGAGAAAAAAGGAGACACTCCGAGACCAGAGTGGATGCAAAACTGGCAGATGGACCCTGCATGGCAAGCAGCACGGCCCTGCAAGCAGTAAAGCATGCAAGATTCAATCTGCATCTGCTTTTTACTTCAGGGAGGGAATTTACACAAAGGAAGAAGGGGATTATTAAGACAGGGCACAGAAATGAAATGTGATTAATCATTCAAAACAGGACACAATGATTTACAGGACAGATTCTAAAATATACCTCGCAAATTATCTTAATAATCTAACATTCTTAATTTTCCAAAAATTCAAGCAAACTATTATAAATTACTTTTTAGGCTTAATTCCTAAGGCAAGGACATAAGGTTTCTCAAGGCTAACTAACATACCTATAGCACTTAATCTCTAATGGGTAAAGGTGAAAAGGATTTAAAAGGTCTGAAGAAAGTCAAGCTGTTTCAGATACCTGGTTTAAACTTTCAGGAGGAAGGAGAACATATAGGTCAAACTGATTATACCCAGGGGCGGTTTGAAGGGGCTGCCACCATTGTCTCTTAATCCAATATTCCCAGAATTTACCACTCCACCTCAAGTGAATACACTGGGCAGTTCCTCTCCAGAACCTCCCTGCATAATCCCAGCAAACCTGCCCTTGTTCGTCCTGAGTCGTAGAAGTTTTACTGCCTTAGTTCTAGGGGGAAGGTCGGTTTTATTTTTGTACATGGACAACAAGAGCTCATGTTTTAAGTTAATATCAAACATAACTGAATAGTTGTATAAGGTGCAATTCTGACATTCATCCCAGGTGGCTATAGCCTGTTCCTCAAAAAGGTCTGCTCCCAGGACCCTACACACTGCCAACACAGTGGAGACATTAAGAGAGGCACATAAAAACCATTTTCTCAGAAGCTACAATTACTAGAGTTAGAAGCATAGAATGAATAATAAGACCAAAGAAAATTATACAGAGCTAGCCCAACAGTGATTACACCAAAACCAATGAACCCGGGACATCAGGAGGTCACTGCCTTTGGCCCTCAGGGTCCCTGGCTAGCAAGTCTGAGTGGTGCCACCGTGTTGGTTTTTCGTCCAAGACACAGGGCCTCAACATCTCAGCGATTGCTGTCTCCAACAGCATGAGAAGAAGCCTTGGGACCCCTGAATTTGTATGCAAAACTGTATCAGAGATTGCACTCTTCCCTGGAGAGGTTCCATACCCTCTAAAATGTGAAGAACAATGTTCCAGAAACTCCTTCCTGATAGGCAGGCCTCTAATATGGGTTTTGAAAAGTCTTAGACTTCTTATCAAACCATGGCTTACCAAAACAAATTGAGTTGCAGTTGTTGGAAAGTGGCATGAGACTTTATAGCAAGCAGTACACTTTAGATGCCTTATACACTAGAAGGGGAAGAGCCCTACACCTCTCTCTTAATAGCTGTGTTCTGTTTGCCCTTAGGAAGTTCTGGACACTTGGAATAGTTTAATCTTCTTAATGTCCTGCTTCAGAGTAATTTTTTTCAGTTTTTCTTTAGAACTAGTTTTTTTTTTTTTTTTCCCCCTCCAAAGAGCCTTTTAATAAAAATACTAAATAATACTGATGGTGATGTGCTGTGGAATCGGTTCGGGAGCAGAAAGATGAGGCTTTCTCCTGTGGGACAGCTGGCAGTTTCTAACTGGCTGGTAGTTTTGAACTGCTGACCTGAGGTTAGCAGTCCAACTTGTAACCACTACGTTACCAGAACCACTGATAATCAGCCTTTACTGGGCACTCACCAGGTTCCAGGTAGTGTTTTAAGTGTTTTTGTAGTTGTTGTTGTTAAGTACTGTGGAGTCGGTTCCAACTCATAGTGACCCTACACAGAGTTTCCAATACTGTAAATCTTTACGGGAGCAGACCGTCTCATTTTTCTCCCACAGAACAGCTGGTAGTTTCGAACTGCCGACCTTGAGGTTAGCAGCCCAATTTGTAACCACTACACTACCAGAGCTCCTTTTACATGTATTAAATTTTAAACAATTCTCCTAATGACTTTAGGCATGAGTATTAGTTGTTTTTGTTGCTAAGTTGCTAAGTTGAGTTGACTCTTACTCATAGTGACCCTGTATAGGGTTTCCGAGGAGCAGCTGGTGAGCTTGAACCACTGACCTTGTGGTTCAAACCGACCTTGCAGTCCAGTGCTAATCATATGATGCCATACCAGTGTTAGTACTGCCCCATATTTCAGATGAAGAAACAGGGCAGAGAGGTTAAGTAACTTGCTGAAAATCACACAGCTGTGAAGTGATGAAGGTAAGGCAGCATAGTTCCAGAGTCTGTCAATAGGACAAGACAAGGGACTCACCCTTGTTCCATGCACCCATGCTCTAAGACCCCTGTAAGGATTGGTGATGAGGTTGAGTCACTTTCAAGGTAATTTAGGTAGGTGATCCTGGTCTCCAATTTCCAGGTGGTTTTTGTTCACCACAGAACAGCCGTTCCAGTTGTGCTACTATCCTGTCTTGGGACTGGGTGGAAATTTCATCCAGCAGTTTTGCTGACATCACTGGGGTTCTGATGTTACAGTCAGGCTATCCACTTTCTCTCGTAGGCTTTTGGTCTTTGGGTCAAAGGGGCCTCCGTCATTGGGGAAAGAATTAGGAGGGGGTGAAAGTAGAATACCTCATTTAACTTCCCTTGTTTAATAGCCAGACTAATGACAATTCCTGTTTGTTTCTAATTTAGACAAATGATACAGAGTTAAAAAAAGAAAAGAAAAGAAACATTTTAATAAGGAAAACCATCACAAAAGCCCTCTGTGCAGTGTATAACGAAGGATTCACGGAGAAAAGGATAAAGTGTCTAAGAGTACTGAGGTTACAGAGAAGGCAAAGTTGGGCTTCTTCCCTGTGTGGAATATCCCAAGGGTATGACACTGTCTGAGCCATGGGCTTTGAGCCTGGTCCGTCCAAGGGCCATGTGGAAGCAGGTAGGTAAGGGTTTTCAGAGTGTCAGGAACAGGGCAGACAATGTTAACTACTCAGAATATTCGCATACAGGAAGAGTGATAGCATTTTTTTCGCCTGCCATGCCAGAGACTATTTAGCAAACCATGGGCCAGAACTGAACATCATTTCTTTCCATCCCTTAAGTAAAGAACCACTAACAACAATAACAATATTTACATCCAGAATTTCCAGGAATCTAGAAGTCCTGGTGTGGTGCTGTAGGAATAGCACTTGACCACAGATCAGTTTGAACTGCAAGGTCGGCAGTTCAAACTCATCAGCCGCTCCTCAGAAATCCTATACAGTGTCGCTATGAGTTGTAATGGAATCCTTGACAACTTCAATCTTTCCTCCATTTATCATAGTATTATTTATTGATCCAGTTGGGAGAATATTAATTTTCTTTATATAGAGGTGTAATTCATACTGAAGGCTGTGTTCTTTGATGTTCATCACCAAGTGTTTCAAGTCCTCTTCACTTGCAGCAAATAAGGTTGTATCTGCATATCACAGATTGTTAATGAGTCTCTCCAATCCTGATGCCACGTTCTTCTTAGTATACACCAGCTTTTCAGATTACTTACTCAGCATACAGACTGAATAAGTATGGTGAGAGGATACAATCCTGGCTCACACCTTTCCTGTTTTTAAACCATGCCCTGGCCAATGACATAAATTGGTGGTAAAACACCATTTAGTAAAATGGTGGTTTGGGGAAGAATGTGATCAAGAAAGCAACTTGTAGTATAAGAAAAACACATACATAAGCTTTCAGTGTTAAGAATTTTCAGCACTCCAAATTTTGCCCAAGTGTCAGCTAAGTACCAGGAGAGGTGTCCACAGATGAAATAAATGAGTTTATTTGGTGGAACCAGAGCTGGAAGAGTCCATTTCTATTTGAAACCTTTCTCCTCCTCTTTGCGTACCCACTGCTTGGTGGTGGTGGTTGTTGTTATTAGGTGCCATCATGTTGGCACCGACTCATAGCGGCCCTATGCACAAAAGAACGAAACACTGCCCAATCCTGGGCCAACCTCACTATTGTTGCCATGCTTGAGTCCATCGATGCTGCCACTTGGCCAATTCATCTCGTTGGGGATCTTCCTCTTTTTCTCTGACCCTCCACTTTACCAAACATGATATCCTTCTCTAGCAAATGGTCCCTCCTGAGAATATGTCAGAAGTATGAGAGACGAAGTTTGGCCATCCTGGTCTCCAAGGAGCACTCTGGCTGCACTTCTTCCAACATGGATCTGTTGGTTCTTTTGGCAGCCCATGACACTTTCAATATTCTCCAACAACATAACTCAAAGGCATCAATTCTTGTATGGTCTTCCTTATTTACTGTCCAGCTTTCACATGCATATGAGGTTATTGAAAACACCATGGCTTGGGTGGTGGTTGTTGTTGTTGTTATGTGCTGTGGAGTCGATTCCGACTCATAGCAACCCTGTGTAGTGTTTCCAAGGCTGTGAATCTTTACGGGAGCAGAAAGCCTCGTCTTTCTCCTGTGGAACAGCTGGTAGTTTCAAACTGCTGACCTTGTGGTTCGCAGCCCAATTCGTAACCACTATGCTACCCCAAATTATGATGGCCCTGCCTAAAGTTAGCCAATTAAACTATATGCCGTTTTTCCTCCCATTTGCTCTAGGCTGATTTTGACAGGGTAGCAGAAGATGTGAGAAAGCTGAAGACAAGGCCCACTGATGATGAACTGAAAGAACTCTATGGGCTCTACAAACAGTCGGTAGTTGGAGACATCAATATCGGTACTACATCCGCATTTCCAAATCAACGTAATATGTCCTTTGAATAACGTGTATAGAAGCACGCAGTCAGAAGTAAACTTGAAATGGTATCTTCCTTTTTTTCGGCAGGGTGTCCAGTACTGTTAGATTTAAAACGCAAGTTTAAATGGGAAGCATGGAACCTCCAAAAAGGTTATTCTTAAACCAGTTAAACCAAATTTTCTTAATTTCCCAATACAGCAGACAATGAGAGTCTGTTTTTCTTTTTCTAGGGTTGCCAAAGGAAGATGCTATGAGTGCCTATATTTCCAAAGCGAAAGAGCTGATAGAAAAGTATGGGATTTAGGATTCAGCAGACGAGAATTTTTGCTTGTGGAAGTCTTCATAGTGGTATCATGATTCAACAGTAAGGGGAGAAATACATTGTTAACTCGTTGTGGATAATGCCTATTTCTGCTAACCAACATGAATTGTAATACTTAATTAGAAGTATACCAAAATGATAAATTTTACTTGCTTCATTCGGGTGATTTTTTAAAACTTGATTTTTATTTTTTATATTGCTCTGGTAGTATGTACACAAGAACATTAACAATGGTTGCCTGTTTTTTTATAATGAGTTATTACTGGTTTAATAAAAACTATTTATAAAGAATCAATAGTAATAATAATAATCAATAATAAGAACTTTGCTCTGTTACACAGAAGCAGGAAATTTGGAATCACAGATGTTCCTGGTTCCAGTTCTTGCTCTATGATTTCTATATTAGGTGGCCTCGGCCAAATTACTGAATCTTGTTAAACTCAATCTGTAGAATATGGGAGCTCTGGTAGCGTAGTGGTTACGAATCGGGCTGCGAACCTTAAGGTCAGCGGTTCGAAACTACCAGCTGCTCCGCGGGAGAAAGATGAGGCTTTCTACTCCCGTAAAGATTTACACCCTCGGAAACCCTATACAGGGTTGCTATGGGTCAGAACCGACTCGATGGCACATAACAACAACAACAACCAGTCTCACAGAAAGCTGCTGGACAAGGTGAATGAGAAAAGTAGAGTTATCCTTACACCTCATTTTAAAGCAAATACTACATAAAACATAAGAACAAATCAGCTGAAAATGTTAAAAACAAAGAAAAAAACGGATGAGTCTATCTATATAGCCCTTGAAAATAAACAAAACCAAAGCAACCCCATTGTCATCAAGTCTTCTGACACACAGATCCTGTTCAGGGTTTCCAAGGCTGTAAATCGTTTTCTGGATACCAGATAACCTCATCTTTCTCACATGGAGCAGCTGGTGGGTTTGAACTGCTGACACTGCAGGTTCTAGTCCAGTACTTATCTTAGAGTGCTACCAAAGCTCCTTCAGTGAAAGAAAACAGCCAGCCTGGAAATACCTACTATTTTTCTGTAATTTTTACATTTAAAATACAAATTTTAAAAACCAAACTAACATGTTGTTTAGTGCCTTCAAGTCTGTTCCAGCTGATAGCAACCGTGTGTATAGGGTTTCCAATGAGTGGCTGGTGGATTTCAACTGCTGATCTTTCAGTTCAAACCTACCTTGTGGTCCAGTATCAAGCAATATCACAGTAAAAATGTAAAGTCTGTGGCTTACAAGCTTTCAAGAGGGAACCTAGATCCAGAGGGCATGAAGGAAGGTAGGCTCTCCACTGAGTAGTATCCAATCTGTCTAGGCGGGACTGATAAAATGAAATGCAGATGGGTCTCTTGTGATACAATAGTGAATAATTGTTATCAGTACTGATTGTGAGGGTTGGAAATGTAAAGGTAGATGTGTTGTAGCAAGGAGGGGAGTGATTAACATTTCAGTCTAGGAGTGCAGGTCCCTGAGACCATCAAGGGAGAAGAGCAGAGAGCGGGACCCTACTCAGAGAAGCAGTGATGCCTGAGATGGAGGCAGAGACGATGACGTGGAGAGATGGAGCAGCTGGGGACTTTAGACACAGAAAGGGAGAGGGGCTGTGTGCTGACGACCGGGGGGCAGGCTTGCAGGGTATACCCTTTGGTTGGTTGATGATGCATGGAGGGGAGTGTAACCATGGCAATGAAATGTTATACAATAGGATGAAAGTAAAACTAATGTTCTCCTATGTAAACTATCACATAATTCACAATAAAACATTTTAAAAAATGTGAAGTCTGAAAATCATTATGAACCTAATACTTAGTCTTGCCAGTACACAAGCTCTCTGAAGACAAAAACAAAACAAAACAAAAAAACAGCCTTGTTTTAACAGTTCTAAAACCTATTTGAGATTTGAGATTCCATAGTAAAAATATCTGAAAGAACAGTACCAAATTAATAAAACCAAAAACCAAAATGAGACCAGGGAAACAATAAAACAAGATATTTCTATTCTCTGCATAAAAGTTTAGGTCTGGACTCCTGGTGTGGTGCTATAGGATCAGCAATGGACTGCGGACCACAAGGTTGGCAGTTCAAACCCACCAGCTCTCCTCGGAAACCCTACACAGGATCATTATGAGGCAGAACCAACTTGATGGCACTTAATAAACATACAAAACACAATGGTAGACCTGGTGTGGCACTATAGCATCAGCACCGGACTGCTAACCACAAAGCTGGCAGTTCAAACCCACCAGCCACTCCTTGGAAATCCTGTACAGGCATACTATGAGTTGGAACCAGCTCGATGCACTTAATAACAACGATGGTATGACCAGAGGGGTAATTGAGATTATGAACTAAAATAATAAAATCGAGGTTGATTTTCTAATTTGGGGGAGAAAGGATGATTCCCATCTTTACTAAACTTTGCCTAAAGATAATCTTAAATCTTCCCCAGTGAAGCCTAGGCCCTGGTCCCACAAGGAGAATACATCAGTATTGGTAACCCTGGACCTTTCCAACTGAGGGCTTGGAGACTTATAGCTCTTTCTACATGGCCTTCACCTCCCTTAGGTGGAGAAGTAGTAGGGAAAGTCTAGCCCCAAAACTTGACTTCAGATATACCCTCAGACCCCTTTGTGAACTATATTGAAATAAACCTTTTCAAATTAATCATCATTGATCCAAATTACTTTTGTACAAATCCTTCAATAAGGGAGCTCTGGAAGTGATATCAAAGTAGGTGTGATAGTTGAGGTTTTGTGTCAACTTGTGCCAGGGTTCTCAGTGGTTTGGCAGATGAGATCTAGCTGGTCTCCATGATGTAATTTGATGTGATACACCAGTAAAAGGATAAAGAGTAGGATTGTTGCTGTTATTGTTAAGTACCGCTAAGTCAGTTCTGACTCATAGTGACCTTGTATAGGGCTTCCAAGTGGTTGGGTTTGAACTTCCCACCTTGTGGTTTGAAGTCCTGTGCTGATCCTACCTTGACACAAGAGCAGTCCAATTCCACCACCACCCTGAATGGATTTCCTAGAGATTCCCAAAGGATTAACATGAAACACCTCGTATCCAACAAGAGATAAAAGGAGAGAGTCTTGAGCAGAGAGAGAGAGGGACCTCCTACCACCATGACAGAAGAGCCAAGAGGAGTGTGTCCTTTGGACCTGGAAGCTCCTAGATCCAGGGGAAGATTAATACCAAGATGTATGGAGATCTCCAAGGAAAACTAGGCTTACAGAAGCTGAATGGCAACAAAGACCTTCCACCAGAACCAACAAAGAAAAACCTTCCTCAAGAATTGACATTCTGAATTTGGGCTTCTTGTTGTCATTGTTAAGTGTCAAGTTGGTTCTTACTCATAGCGACCCTGTAGAGGTTTCTGAGGAGTGACTGGAGAGTTTGAACCACCGACTTTGTGGTTCAAACAAACCTTGTGGTCCAGTGCTTATCCTACAGTGCCACACCAGCACTCATAGCCTCTTAGACTCAGAGATGATTCTTGTTGTGTCACTGTAGGATAAGCACTGGACTGCTAACCACAAAGGCAGTGGTTTAAAACCATCAGCTGCTCCTTGGAAACCCTATATAAAGGTCACGATGAGTAAGAACCAACTCGACAACATTTAACAACAACAAACTGTGTGAGAATAAATTTCTGGCTGCTTAAGCCATCCACTTGTGGTATTTCTGTTATAGCAGTGCTAGAGAACTAAGATAGTAGGTATTGTTGTTGTTGTTAAGTGCCATAGAGTTGATTCTGACCCATAGCGACCCTGTACAGGGTTTCCAAGGAACAGCTGGTGAGCTTGAAACACCGACCTTGTAGTTCAAATGACTTTGCAGTCTGACGCATTTGTCCACAGCGCCACATCAGGACTCCAAGATAGTAGGTACAATACATACTAAATATTTGACATCATTTACTTTAACATTCTTTAACAAGTGTTTTTTAGCCCCAATTTTATTATGTGACCTTTAACTCAATGACCCTCCCTCATAATGAATTTTGTAGTATTGTTTGTACTTTGTTAAAAAGAAACAATAAAAAAATTTTAAATCCCTCCTATATGCATTTTCATTCATCTTATTTATCAAGCCTGTAGGAATATTATCTTCACAGATGAACAATAACACAATTCCATAGAATATGACCACAAGCAGCAATGCTTTAAAAGTTAGTATTTTAATATGTTAAGCGGTTTAACTCATAAGACATCAGCCACATTAAGGAGCAGAGGTTTTGTGAAGCTCAGGGAATAAGGAAATCAGGGGATCTGATTGCACAGCCAGGTCTCCAAGAGACAAACGACTATAGAGAATGGACAGTTCAGCATCCACGTGACTCTGGAGATGCAGTGACTCTTTGTTCTCTTCAGTAGACATTTCTGGATCCCAGGTGTAGTGTTCTGTCATTATGCTGACTTGTAATTTTCCAATTACAAATTTTGTAATTTTCCAAATTACAAATTTTCCAATTCCAAAAACAAACAATTGTATGTTTCCAATTGTTCTGCTTTCTCCAGATGTCGACTTCATATCATTGCAGAGTGAATCTGAGAACTATTGCAGAGGCTTCCTGTTGGGCATGGCATTTGTACTGGACCATTCCATCTGCCACTGACCAGACTCAGATAGGGTGTCCATGAAGTACTCTCCTAGGCCCCAGTTGGGTATAGCAGGGTAACAGATCACACAGAGTCTACAGGCAAAACTGATGGAGAAGGGACCCCTTAGCAGGGCTGAGGACTTGCTAGAATATACTACTGCAATAATTTGTTGTTGTTAAGGGTCATTGAGTCAGTTCCAACTCATAAAAACCCTGTATAATAGGGTTTCCGAGAAGCTTTTAGGGCTGTCTCAAAGCTATAGATTATAATTTCTTAATAAATGGGATCATTCTATATTTCTAAAGACTAGGTCAAGCTTTGAATTATAGTATGCTAATGAAACAATAATTAAATACCAAACATTATCCCTGACAATCATTTCTAGTGTTGAAACAACTGCAGTGAAAATTGGATAATTCACTAAGCAGGAATTTTGTTGACAACCTTCCCACATATGAAAATCAAAGGTGATTCTAATGTGAAGACAATGGCAGACCTATTCTTTTCTTACCCATCTTTGATCTCAAGATGCATCAATGCACCATGGAGAAAAACATTTATCTATAACAAACTAGCCTGACAATAGAAAAATGTATAATTTTTCATATTTGAATAAGATGAATGAGCTACTTCTGAATAAGACGTTATGATATAATCACTTTGACTATTTTAAGAACAAAAGAAAACATATCTAACAAAGTGTCGTTAGTTCTAGACACTTGGTTATGTACTCCTTGATGAAATTCTCAATGGATGACTCTATAAGATAAAAGTGATTTCCTGGCAGACAGTGCAAGTCAAAACTCCCACTGGTTACAGCTTTCCAAGCTAAAAAGAAACAGAAATATATTTAATAACAAATGATATCACCTGCACAGAAGATTTACTTCCTGTTAATACTTCTCTAAGAGCTGGTAGTGTAATGGATTACAAGCTGCGCTGCTAACCACAAGGTCAACAATTTGAATCTACCAGTCATTCCTCGGGAGGAAGATGAAGCTTTCTCCTCCAGTAAAGATTTACAGCCTTGGAAACCCTACCCAGGGTTGTTATGAGTCAGAACCGACCCTACGTCACAACACCACCACCAGCAGTTGCTGACACTTAGTTGTACAATTACTTCCAGGGTCTTATGTTCCGTGTAGGCTGTATTTTTAATTTCTCTAACACTTACCAGTACATAGTATAATTAATTGCAATCTTTCACTTTATGTGCAACCAACATCTTTCCATTGTACTAAATAAAACTTGGGCCAATTATCTATCCATAAAGGGAGGATCACTCTGTAGGATAAGCCCTGGACTGCGAAGTTAGCCCGGCGGACTGAGCCCATCAGCCACTCTGCAGGAGAAAGATGAAGCTTTTAATCCCTCAAATATTTACAGCTTTGGAAACTCTATGCAGGATAGCTATGAGTTAGAATTGACTGGATGACACTTAACAACAACAACAGTTACTGCTTCTTGATGTTGTTAAGTGCCATTGAGTCAGTTCTGACTCACTGGGAGGCTGTTTAGGGCTTCCAATAAGCAGCTGAGGGGTTTGAATCACCAACCTAGTGGTTAGCAGTATAGTGCTCATCCAATAGCGCTACACCAGGACTCCAGTAATTGCTAGTTGACATTTACTGAGCATCATAAAATAATTCAATAAAAATATACAAACTATCAAAATAACTTCACCTTCTGCACCCTTTATCAATTCATCTTCAGATCCAAGGAAACATGTTAAGTCACAAGAAAGGACAGCCTCAGATTGGATTTCAAAGCTGTAAACATAAAAGAGCTTTTTTATACTTTTCATAGTCCACATCTTAGAATCCTTTCTTAGCTTCACTTAAACACTACTGTATCCTTGTTTCTTTCCCTTTGGCTATTCCCCAAAATTCAAACATTTTTCATCAGTGGTACTTCTACCTACCAGAACCTGCCTGACTCACAGTTGTTGTTAAGTGCCGTTGAGTCAATTCCAACCCATAGCAACCCTGTATAGGGTTTCCAAGGAGCAGCTGGTGAGCTTGAACCACCAACCCTGCAGTTCAAATGACTTTGCAGTCTGACGCATTAGCCCACAGTGCCACACCAGGACTCCTGACTCACAGTGGTCTCATCTAATATCTTGAGCGCTTCAAGTGGCAGCAGATAGCCCCTGGGCACAAAGTCCAACTCAGCATGAGGCTGGTTACAATTAGTACTTCCAACTGTCATTCCCCAGAAATCACTGTTGGTATTGTTATCTGAGAGTCCTGGTGTGGTGCTGCAGGACAACACGCTGGACTACAGGGTTAGGTTGAGTCGCCAGGTTAGCAGTTCAAACCTACCAGCCATTCCTCAGAAACTCCTATACAGGGTCGCTATGAGTTGGGATCAATTTGATGGCATTTAACAACAATAATTGTTATTTGTTGTCATTGAGTCCATTCTGAGCCATAGAAAGCCCACGTGACAAAGCAGAACTGCTCCGTGAGGTTTTCTTTATGGAAAGGTAATCTTTATGGAAACAGATCATCAGATCTTTCTCCCGTGGAACTGAACAATTAACCTTTCAGTTGGTAGCCTCATTTTTAGTCATGTTTTGTTAAGTGCTGTCAAGTTGATTCCAACTCATAGAGACCCTGTATAGGGTTTGTCAGAAGCAGCTGGTGAACCTGAACCGCCGAACTTGCAATTCAAAGAGACCTTGCAGTCTAGCTCATTAACCCACATTGTCACATTATGGCTCTTCAGAAATTACTCCCTCTCCATGGTCTATCAGAGGGCTGAAATGTTCAAGCAAGCAGGGCCTCTGAGTTGGTTTTATCTATTCTCACTTTAATCACAGCAATCTTTATTGAGGTAGGTGTTAGGTCCTGTTTTAGACACTAGGGACACATTGAAAAACACACTCCCTGTCCTCCTATAGCTTACATACTGGCTAGGAACACAGATAATAACAGTCAACTGGAGAAAGGGGTATGTGGAACCAAGTTCTGGGTGATCTGAAAACACTGGGCAAGAGGATGGGGTAGGATTAGGGTTAGGTAAGGTTTCCCTAGGAAAATGGATCTGGATAAATATGAAAAAAACTTGGCAAAGGGGATAGAGTCAAGAAGGAAGGAAGGAGTAGAATGAGCTTAAATTAATGATAGTTGTTTAAATGATGAAGGGGACATAGGTGTAAATTAAGGTAGATGAGGCAGGCAAGGGCCAAATCTAGGCCACGTAAAGGATTTTGGTCTTTCTTGATGTAGCTGTTATTGCTAGATGCTGTTGATTCCCACTCCTAGTGACCCTGTGTACAGCAGAACAAAACACTGCCCAGTCCTACACCATCCTCACAATAGAGTAATAGGAAGGCATGATTTTAAAATAATTTCTCTAAATTAAACAGAAAAGGAACAACATAATCAAAGTTGGCTTTTGTAATAGTCTTCTGAATATGGTTGAGGAATGGATTGGCAAAAAGTAAGGATTTATGAAAGGGGCAACGGTGGATGTGGTAGCATTCTCATTGGGTTCAATTTCTGGCCAACATGCCACCAGTCCATCAGTGGAAGCTTGTGTGTTGCTATCATGCTAAACAGGCTTCAGCAGAGCTTTCAGACTAAGATGAGTTAGGAAGACAGGTCTGGCAATGTATTTAAATGAAAGCTCTATGGATCCCAATGGTTTGACTCCCTTCTGCATAGGGTTGTTGTGAACCAAGTGACTCAATGGCAGCTCACAATAATAACAACAAAGCTATATAAAAGAATCAATTAAGTGGCTCTTTCAATAGTCCAGGCAAGGATTTCTGCTTTTGCTTAGGATATACAAAACTGGAAGGAATGCCATTCCTGCCCTAACAAAGAGGAAGGGCCAGATACACTACAAGGTCAACGCTTGCTTTTTTTTAAAACTCATTGGAGTGCTAAATCCCTCTAAGAGATGAAAGTGTGGTCTAGCTCACTCATGGTAACCACTCATGGTGGCTGCTGTCCAAGCAGGTCAGAAGAATCTGTTACAATTTTAATAATCTGTTTGAGACCAAGGGTGTGTGATAGTGGGCCAGACTAGAATAGCTGGATGCCTCCAACACAGAAGAAATTCACGTGGATTTCAAGGCTGTTTCCCATAGCCTCCAGGAAGGGTTCAAGAGAAAGATTAGGAGCAAGGCAAGAGGCCAAAGAGAGTAGAACAGAGGGTAGCAGCCCTAATGGCACAGTGGTTAAGTGCTCTGCTGCTAACTGAAAGGTTAGTGGTTTGAACCTACCTAGATGCTTACTTATACTATATAGACGATGCCCATTCACCTGTGTGGATCATAACAAACTATGGATAGCACTATAATAACCGGGCATTCCAGAACACTTAATTGTGCTCACAAGGAACCTGTACATAGACCAAGAGGCAATTATTCTAACAGAACATGGGGACACTGAGTGGTTTAAAATCAGGAAAAGGGTGTGCCAGGGTTGTATCCTTTCACCATACTCATTCAAGCTGTATGCTGTGCAGATAACCTGAGTAGCTGGACTATATGAAGAAGAACATGGCATCAGGATTGAAGGAAGAGGCATTGAAAACCTGTGATATTCAGATTATACAACCTTGCTCGCTGAAAGCGAGTAAGACTTGAAATACTTATTGATGAAGATCAAAGACCACAGCCTTTGATATGAGTTGTACCTCAATGTAAAGAAAACAAAAATCCTCACCATTGGACCAATAAACAACATCCATATCAATGGAGAAAATGTTAAAGTTGTCAAAGATTTCAGTTTGCTTGAATCCACAATCAATGATCATGGAAGCAGGAGTCAAAAAATCAAATTACATATTGCATTGTGCAAATCTGCTGCAAAATACCTCTTGCAAGAGTTCAAGAGCAAAGATATCAATTTGAGGACGAACGTGCGCCTGAACCAAACCATAGTATTTTCCATTAACTCATATGCATGTGAAAGTTGGACAATGAATAAGGAAGACCTTAGAACTGATGCATTTGAATTAAAGTGTTGGAGAAGAATATTGAAAGTACCATGGAATGCCAGAAGAACAAACAAATCTGTCTTGGAAGAAGCACAACCAGAAAGCTTCTTAAAAGCAAGGATGGGGAGACTTCATCTCACATACTCTGGACATGTTAGCAGAAGGGGCCAGTCCCCAGAGAAGGACATCATGCTTTTTAAAGGGAACAGTCAGTGAAAAAGAGGAAGAATCCCAACAAGATGGAATGATACAGTGGCAGCAAAAATGGGCTCAAACATAAGAATTGTGAGGATGGCGCAAAACAAGGCAGTGTTTTGTTCTGTTGTGCAGAAGGTCACTATGAGTCAAAACCAACTGGACCACACCTAATAACAAGAAAGGACCCAATGCTGACTTCACAATAAATTCTATGGGGATGTTAGAATTAGGAAGAGCCATTTTAAGTTTAGAATATTGGGGTAAGCTTTACAGAGTGTTAGGACTTCAATCCTATCAGATAACCCACTATCAACCCAGGCATCCCACAAGACAAGGGATGGACAAGCACTCTGGAGCAAAATGAGTCCAGGACAAAATTCCCCAAAACCAAACCTAGCAAACCATTACTCCTTTCCTGGTTCACTTTCCCATTTAATTTGTCTTAAAGTTCTGAAAGAAAACTTCCAACACTAGGTGTTTATTTACTTTTGCTGATCCATCTAAGAAAATGAAAATGCTTTGGCATTAAGTCACTCAACAAATACTAACGGCGTGGTTTAAAAATGCATTTTGAACGATATTATTTTTTAAAGTAAAAAAAATATTCTATTCATCTTTTATAAATGCAATTTCTGTGCCAAGACTCCATTAGTTGGAATTTTGAACCAATATGAATATTACAGGTAACCTCCAAGGAAATGAAATCAAACTCCTAGAATGTTGTCTTCTTGGACACGTAAACTCAGAAAACTCCCAGTCTGCATGTTTCTATAAATAATTATCGTAAAAAATCTTAGGTACTTACATAAAACTCCTCATCAGGTTTATATCTGCCATCAGTACAGGAACATGTTCTTGAAGATGTGAGTTGTCAATTAAATTTTGGGGAGTGCCTCCATTAGTCGCAAGAAAATGGTAAATTCTATTTTCTGTCAGATCTTTGTCTTCTGGAATTGGAAGCCGGACCTTGGACATGAAACATTAACAACATAGGCCTTACATTTCATAGCAAGCACTCATCCATAAATGGACAACTATTTCTCCAAGGAAAAGTCACTAAATCGAGGGTAAGAGGTGAACTTTTTTTATTGTATATATATTTTAAGGGATACCTAACGCTTTTCGCTATCAGTCAGAACCGACTTGACAGCACTTAACAACAACATTTTAAAAGTAGGTAGAAGAAATTTCCAAAGTCATTATGCCACCAAAATGGCAGCCTAAACTTAGACCCTAGATCAATCAATCAGGATCCTCTCCAGGTAAGGAGAGGAAAACCAAAAGAATGGGAGGGAGAAGCCGCAGGAACCACAGCATTGGGTTTACAAAGTCACGGTCATTTAGAAAATCTGACACTCTCCCCTTTTGAGATTTTTATGATTCATCCCTGGTTCTTATCCAGTTATTCTACTGAAAGTTGATGACTCAGGATGAAAAAAAAAAGCTCTCTGGAGGTGCCATGGGTGATGCAGACACGGTCTGGGGTACAGTCAGAGTAATGGAGAGATGATGATATTAAAAAGAGGTTTGATGGACTTTTCATTAGTAAGTTTATCCCTGTCTTTGGCCTCATCCTGGATGACAAAATTAATGTCATCGGGTAGAAAAATTACAAAAATAACCAAACAAAAGCCAGTTGCTGTCAAATCTGTTGGTTCTTTTGGCATCCCATGGCACTTTCAATATTCTCCTCCAACACCATAACTCAGTTGACTCTTGGTGACCTCAAATATATCAGGGGAGATCTATGCACCACGGAGTTTTCAATGGTTGATTTTGGAAAAGAAGATCACCAGGCTTTTCTTCTGAGATACTTCTGGGTGGATTTGAACTGCCAATCTTGGTTAGTACCGATGGGCCACCCAGGGACTCCTAGCAAAACAAGGGTTTGCTATTTCCTTCCAATCTTCCTGCTCTTCACCCCCACTCCTTAAGGAAAAGGACAACACTTACATGAGGAGCATTTGCACTTGACACAAACAAATGCATTGGCTCGAGCTGATGTCTTTCTTTCAGTCGTGCTGCAGTCATAAAGGCAATATAGGATCCCATGCTAAATATGGGCAAGAGAAAAAAGATAACTGTTCAACATAACTCATGATAATCCACCCAAAGCCAGTAAGGACAAGTATTATAAACATAGTGATACTGTAACACAGTGAACAGAAAAGATAGGCTCATTAAAGCAATAACACCAATTTATTTATAAAAGTTTTTTTTTCATAGTTAATATTGCCATTATGTATGTGTGTGTGTGTATGTATATGGGTGTATATATATATATAGTTGGTTGGTTATGTGCCATGGCATCGGTTCCAACTCATAGTGACCCTATACAGGGTTTCCAAGGCTATAAATTTTTCTGGGAGCAGAAAGCCTCATCTTTTTCCCAAGGAACTGCTGGTAGATTCGAACTGCTGACCTTAAGGTTTGCAGCCCGATTTGTAACCACTACGCTACTATATATATATATATCCAGATACCCTAGGCACTTCACTCTGTGATTTTAGTACTAATTTCCACAGTGCCTTGAATTTAATTTCCTTTTCACCCTTAAAGGAGACTTGTGTGAGGCCATGGGTTAAGCATTGGACTGCTAACCAAAAGGCTGGCAGTTCACACCCACTAGCTGTTCTTTAGTGGAAAGATGAGGCCGTCTGCTCTTATAAAGAATTACTTCCTCACTTTCTCAGAACCCCTCTGGGGCCATTCTATTCTGTCCTATAGGGTCACTCTGAGTGGGAACTGACTCACCAACAGTGGGTGGGTGGTGTTTTCTCCTTTAAAGATGTATAGCAGGGTTTCTTTGGTAGTATGTACCAGCAGTTCTCAAGTGTGATCTGTGGACTCCCTGGGGTTCCCTAAACCACTTCACGGGGTCTGTGATGTCAGAACTATTTTCATAATAATATGAAGATGTCACTTACCTTTTCCACACTCAGAGTGCACAGTTTAGTTTGCCAGAGGCTACATGACATGGGGTATTGCAGACATGTGAATGCAGAAGCAGAAATCAGAACACAGCTGTCTTCTATAAAGTCCAACCATGAGCAGATTGACAAAAGTGTGCCACCATGCCATGCTTCTCACCAAATGTTTTTTTAAATGTTTCTTGCCCCCACACACTATCTCATTGATGCTAGCATATTGTAGGCTTATTATTGGAATTTTAGATAAATTAGAAACTAAGTTTATTTACATTTTATAAGCTTTGGTTTTTAATATGGTAAATAATGACAAACAAAAACCAAAGGTTCTGAGGTCATCAATGCATTTTAAAAGCTTAAAAGGTTCCTGGAACCAAAAAGTCTGTGAAGTGCTAGTATACATTATGTAGACAATAATGTCAGAACTGATTCACTTTTAATTTATGTATGTATATACCTTATGAGAGAAAGGAAAACTCAATCCTATGTTCACTGCCGTGTAAATTGGTAGGTTACTTGGAATTATGTGCCAAAAGCTTTAACAATGTGCATGCCCGTTAACTAAATTCTCCTAAGAAACTTATGTTGTTGTTATTAAGTGCCATCAAGTCAGTTCCAACCCATAGCAACCCTGTATCAGGTTTCTAAGGCACAGCTGGTGGGTTTGAACCACCAACCTTGTGGTTCGCAGTTCAGTGCTGATCCTACAGTAACACAACAGGACTCCAAGAAATTTATAACTTATAAACTACAATAAGATACAAATAAAATACTTGTAGTTACAGTAAGATACAAATATTTGTAGATAAACACATCTATAAATATGCTTTTTGAAGTATTGTCTATAACAGAAAAATAACTCTCAAGCCCACAAAAGATTGTTGTTGTTGTTGTTGTTAAGTGCCATCAAGTTGAAACTGACTCTTAGCAACCTTATGCACAGCAGAATGAAACACTAGCCAATCCTGGGCCAACCTCACTATTGTTGCCACGCTTGAGACCACTGATGCTGCCACTTTGCCAATCCATCTCGCTGGGGATCTTCCTCTTTTTCTCTGACCCTCCACCTTAACAAACATGACATCCTTATCCTTCTCCAGAGACTGGTCCCTCCTGACAACATGTCTGAAGTATGAGAGATGAAGTTTGGCCATCTTGACCTCCAAGGAGCACTCTGGCTGCACTTCGTCCAACACAAATCTGTTGGTTCTTTAGGCAGTCCATGGCACTTTCAATATTCTCCTCCAACACCATAACTCAAAACCATCAATTATTCTACGGTCTTCCTTATTCACTGTCCAGCTTTCACATGCATATGAGGTTACTGAAAATACCATGGCTTGGGTCAGGAGCACCTTAGTCTTCAAGCTGACATCTTTGCTCATTTTCAACATGTTAAAAAGGTCTTATGCAGCACATTTGCCTAACGTCATACGTTGTTTGATTTCTTGACTGCTGCTTCCATGAGTGTTGATGGTTGATCCAAGAAGAATGAAGTCTTGACAACTTCAATCTTTTCTCCATTGATAAGAATGCTGTTTATTGGTCCAGTGGTGAGGATTTTTGTTTTGTTTACACTGAGATGCAATCCATACCAAAGGCTGTGCTCTTTGATCTTCATCAGTAAATATTTTAAGTCCTCTTCACTTTCAGCAACCAAGGTTGTATCATCTACATATTGCAGGTTGTTAATGAGTCTTCCTCCAATCCTGATGCCATGTTTTTCTTCATATAACCCAGCTTCTTGGATTATTTGCTCAGCATACAGATTGGATAAGTATGGTGAAAGAATTCAACCCTGTCACAGCACACCTTTTAAATTTTTAAACCATTCAGTGTTCCCATGTTCTGTTCAAACAACTGCCTCTTGGTTCATGTACAGATTCCTCATGAGCACAAGTAAGTGTTCCGGAATACTCATACTTTGCAATGTTGTCCATAGCTTGTCATGATCCACATAATCGAAAGCCTTTGTGTAGTCGATAAAGCACAGGTAAACATCTTTCTGATATTCTCTGCTTTCAGCCAAGATCCATCGGACATTAGCAATGATATCCCTCATTCCACAGCCTCTTCTGAATCTGGCTTGAGCCTCTGGAAGTTCTCTGTCAATGTATGCTTGCAAATATTTCTGTATTACCTTTAGTAAAACCTTACTCACATGGGATATCAAAGATATTGTCCAATGATTTCTGCATTCTGTTGGGTCACCTCTCTTTGAAATGGGCGCAAATATGGATCTCTTCCAATCAGTTGGCCAGATAATTATCTTCCAAATTTCTTGGTATAAGATGAGTGAGTGCCTCCTGTGCCACCTCACTTTCTTGAAAGATTTCATTTTTTCATTCCATCAATTCCTGGTGCCTTGTTCTTTGCCAATACCTTCAGTGCACCTTGGACTTCTTCCTTCAGTATCATTGGCTCTTAATCATATACTACCTTTTGAAATGGTTGAACATCAACCATTTCATTTTAGTACAGTGACTCTGTGTATTCCTTCCATCTTCTTTTGATGCTTTCTGCATCAATAAAGCAAATTATGAAACAATATATACTTGTAGACTGTGAAAGACTTCCACAGCAATATTACGTTAAAAAAAATCAGGTTAATTAGGACCCAAGATAAAATAGGACATATAAAAGTACTATGTTGTTGTTGTTGTTAAGTGCTATTGAGTCAGCGCCAACTCATAACAACCCTGTGTAGGGTTTCAAGGAGCAGCTGGTGAGCTTAAACACCGACAATGAGATTCAAACAGGCCTTGCATACCAGCACATTAACCCACAATGCCACACCAGGATCATATAAACAATGTAAAGGATAATGGGATAATGGATACTTTTATTTTTTGTAGCGCTGCAGGATAATGCCTTGGACTGCAAAGTTGGCTTGAAGTGCCAGGTCAGTAGTTCAAATCCACCAACCTCTCCTTGGAAACCCTATACAGGGTGGCTATGAGTTGGGGCCAACTCCATGGCACTTAACAACAACAATATATGTATTGTTGTTATTGTTAAGTGTTGTCAAGTTGGTTCTGACTCATAGCAACCCTGTATGGAGTGTCAAGGAGTAGCTGATGGATTTGAACTGTCCTTATATTATATGCTATATTAGTCAACACTTTCTGAGTCCTTACCATATACCAGCAGGAGAAAGATGAGGCTCTGCTCCCACAAAGATACACAGTCTCAGAAATCCTATAAAGGGATGCTAAGAGTTGACATTGACTTGGTGGCAATGGGTTTGGTTTGGAGGTATTACAAACCAAGCAATTTATTATCATTATTCATTTAATTATTACAAAAGGGAACTATTGTCATTACAGCTTTACAGAGGAAGAAACTAACTCAGAGAGCCCTACGCCTTTACCAAAGGTCACGCCCTGGTAAAAGACCTCAGGGTTCATGGCCTACCTCAACATACAACCTAACTTGAAAACATATACTATTTGCATAACATGTAAATGGTTTTTTTAGGGATTTATTAAATTTATTAATGTTTTCCAAGAACCAAGTGTGGTTTTATTGTTTGTTTTCTCTATTAATTTTCTAGTTCATCAGTTTCTGTTTAACTTTTCATTTTTTCTTTACATTTCTTATGTTGTTTTTCTAGATTCTGAGGATGGAAGTTTAATAGTTAATTTGAGAGCTTTCTTTTCTCATTGAATGGTTTAAATTTCCTTCTAAGCATTGCATCCGTACATTTTGATATGCTATGTTTTCATTTTCATTCAGCTAAATTCATTTTCAAGTTTTTCTTTGATCTATGGGTTTTTTTAAAAAGTGTGATGTTCCAAGCATTTTTTGAGGCGTTCCAGATATCTTTTTGATACTATTTCTAGTTTAGTACTATTGTGGTCAGAGAAAAAAAATTTCTTTGTTTTGTTTTTACTGTGGTAAACACACACACACACATATATAACGTAACACCATTCTAACTGTGTTGACATGTACACTTCACTGACATTAATTGTGTTCAGCACATTGAGTAATGACCATCACTGTCTACCTCCAAACGTTTCCATTTTCTGCAACAGCAACTCATTGTCCCCTAAGGAATGAGTTCCCATTTCCCCCCTCCTTCCACCCACCCCGTGTAACCCCTAATCAACTTTGGTTTGTATACATTTGTCCATTCTAGTTATTTTACATAAGTGGAATTATACAAGATCTGTCCTTTCCCAACGGATTATATCATTCTTAGTTTAAAAAAAATTAGGTTGCTGTTTAGAGTTTTGATTTTATGTCTTGCTTTTTGTTTCCCAAAAGTAAAAAGATCTAATTACTATAAAAAACAGCCAATTATAAGAATTGTGACTGCCTGTAATTAACCAACATGTTCGGGCTATTTTCGAGTGAGAAAATACTAAAAGGAGCCCAGGACTTACACACTCCTTAAAGGAGAATTTCAATTCATCCTATCACATGGTATTGAAATGTTTATGCAGAAGTGGCACAATTTCTCCCTGTCGTACTCTCTTACTTGAGAACCAATATTACCACAGTTAATCAATCACTCCCTCAATCAGTGATGAAGCAGTATAGCCCAATAGAAATGTACATATCTCACAAGACACAATGAACATTGATCATGAACCCTGATTGGAGAAACATTCCCAAATGTCTGTTAAAGCAGATTTTATATACCTGTGACCAAAAAATGCAAACGGTTTATCCTGGAGGATTGGCAGCAAAGCACAAATAATTTCATCAACTACATGGAAGAAATCACTTGCAAAAGGTTCTTCATATCGACTTTCTCTTCCAGCAAGCCTTATGGAGTGCACTGGAGATGGAGAAAAGCAACTTAGTACATGCAGACAGTGACTGAGATATGGTGATGTTCTAAAAGGATATATATATACCCACTCCCTGGTCAGGTTAGGCTTCAAAGATAAAATCATTATGCAAAATTCTGTGTTGTGTGGAAATGCAGGATGACCATATTAGATCACAAAATGAGGATGATGACATCATTACAGACCTGCCAAATTACATCATTTACAGAACTGCCAAGCCACTGAAAATTATGACCCAGTTAAGTTGACACATAACTTCAATCATCACAGCCAGCAATACTCTCACTTTGCATCTTAGTATGTCATGCCTATGTGCAAAATAGTCAATGGTAGATTTTGTTTTTGTTTTACTATTTTCATAAATGTGAATTGTTGGACAATGAGATAGTTGATAAGTGAAAAGTGGGTATATTTCTATGGTGTGAACAATTGGAAAGAAACAAGTGATAATTTTATACACAAATTGGCAAAAATAGAAACATTTTCTGGGAATAATAATATTATCCAGAATTTGTTGTTGTTGTTGTTGTTAGGTACTATCAAGTCACTATTGACTCATAGAGACCTAATGCACAGCAAAACGAAACACTGCCCAATCCTGGGCCAACCTCACAATTGTTGCCACGCTTGAGCCCACTGATGCTGCCACTTGGCCAATCCATCTTGTTGGGTGTCTTCCTCTTTTTCTCTGACCTTCCACCTTACCAAACATGATATCCTTCTCCAGCGACTGGTCCCTCCTGACAGTATGTCCGGAGTATAAGAGACAAAGTTTGGCCATCCTGGCCTCCAAGGAGCACTCTGGCTGCACTTCTTCCAACACAGATCTGTTGGTTCTTTTGACAGCCCATGGTACTTTCAATATTTTCCTCCAGGATATAGAACAATAAGTTTTATACACAGCTGGTGGCATTGTAGGATAAGCACCCAACTGCTAACTGAAAGCTCAGCAGTTCAAATTTACCAGCTGTTCCTCAGGAGAAAGATGAGACTGTTTTGCTCCAGGAAAGATTTGCAGTCTTGAAACTCTATAGAGGGGCCCTATGAGTTTGAATTAAGGAGCTCTGGTAGCGTAGTGTTTACGAATCGGTCTGTGAACTGCAAGCTCAGCAGTTGGAAACTACCAGCTGTTCTGCGGGAGAAAGATGAGGCTTTCTGCTCCCATAAAGATTTACAGCCTTGGAAACCCTGTACAGGGTCTCTATGAGTTGGAACCGACTCCACGGCACTTAACCACAACAACAACATGAGTTTGAATTGACTCAGTGGCCGTGGGTTATGGTAATGTAAATCATTGAAATTCCTCTAGAAAACAAGTTGATGTTATTTCAAGTTGTTGGAGACATTTATAACTTATTGCTGTTGTTGTCAGGTGCCATGGGGCAGTTCCACTCACAGCAATACCATAGACAACAGAACGAAACTGTGCGGGTCCTGTGCAGTCTCAGAATCTTTGCTTGTTTGAGCCCATTTTTACAGCCACTGGTTCAATCACATTTGTTGAAGGTCTTCCTCTTTTTCACTAACCCTTCACTTTACCGTGCATGATGGTCTTATCCAAAGTATGTGAGACGAAGTCTCGCCATCCCTACTTCTGAAAAGCATTCCACTGTATTTTTTTTCAAAACAGATGTGTTCATTCTTCTGGTAGTTCATGGCATACATATTCAATAGTCTTACCAACACCATAATTGAGCACACCAATTCTTTGATCTTCTTCTTTTATCGTCCAATTTTTGCATAGACATGAGGCAGTTGAAACTCTCATGGCAGGTTCAGGCACACCACACCTTAGTCCTTTTTGTCTTACTAACTAACCAGATTACAAAAAATAATCATGGTAGACACCTTAGACATCCTTCTAATAGGCCTATTGATTTGAACATGATTTTAATGCCTATAAAGAGGAGAATAAATACAAAGAGAAGTCAGAAAGTACTGCTATAAATCATACAAACTTATTAAACAAAAATATTAAAATGTGAAGCTAATGTTTCTCAACATATCCTCCATCTAGGTATGCACACTTCTGAAGGGGGTATTCCCATCTTTCTAACCCTTTTCTAAAGAATTCTGTGCTCTTTGGTTTTGTTGTTGTTGTTATGTGCCGTGGAGTCGGTTCCGACTCAGAATGGCCCTGTACTGGGTTTCCAAGGCTGTAAATTTTTATGGGAGCAGAAAGCCTCAATTTTCTCCCATGGAATAGCTGGTAGTTTCGAACTTCTGATCCTGAGGTTCGCAGCCCTATTCATAACCACTACGCTCTTTGGTTTACACCATAACAAAATGGCAACTTTTGTATACTTGAGAGACTCAAATTGTATTCCCTTGAAATGTTCTTTGAGTTTTGAGAACAGAAAGAAGTGACAAGGGCAGGGCTGTAGGATAGATAGTGTCAATGAAATTCTTGTAGGAAAGCCCTTGCTACCCTTGATGAATAAGCAGGTCATTGTCATGATGGAAAAAAACAAAAGATTCTTAGTGCAACGTTCCTGACCATTTTTCACCAATGCAGTTTTCAATTTTATTAAACTTCTTCATAATAAGTCTCCAAGGACGTCCTGTGTCCTTGGAGAAAAGCTATCAAAATTACTTCCTGGGGATTCCCGAAAAACAGTTGTCATAACCTTCTGAGCTGACGTCTCTGTCTTGAATTTAACTGGCCCAGCAGATCCTCTAGGAAACGACTGTTGTTTTTTAAGAAGGTGTCCTAATGATATCAAGACAAGTGCATTACTGAGAGAACTTGTCTAGATCACCCACTGATTGTAGAGACATGTTTAAACAACTTTTGTCTGTAATGAACCTGTGCATGTATGAACTGGAACCCTAGTAGCAATATTTTCTGACTTACTCTTGTATATAAATTGTGTTATAGTTATACGAGCTAAGCAACAGAATACTATGAAACAGTAAGAAAAAAAAAATAAATGAAGTAGAGACACATATCCACATGAATGAGTTTTTAGAAATAGAAACTGAGGTGAAAAACAACCAATTTGCAGAGGAATGTTTACAACACGTTACATTCATATGAGAAATATGTGAAATGATTCGATATCTTGCTTATGTCAGTATTTGGGGGTGCAAAAGGAAAGGTACAACTAGGGGTAGGTACAGGAGACTTTACTTGTGTTGGTAATGTTTTATTCTTTAATGGACTTAACTAATTTTGTGATATTTCTTCTTTGTACTTTAAAAAATATCAATTACTTTTTAAATGATTTAAAGGAGCAGCATTTGCCTGTATTGATGTATGAATGGTTGATTAAAA